GCAATGAATAATCCATTTAGTTTAAATACAGCATTTCACAGTGAAAAACGTTCCTGCTTAGTAGTTCACCTTTTTGCTGTTTTAAAAACCTTTTACAATCTGGCGAGAAGCTATAAACTGTCTTGTTTTAAAATTAAATTTAAAGTAGTTCTCAATCCCACCATAAAACTGTTCTAAAAATCAATCATAAACTTCATTAGAAATTTTATATTAATTTCTTGATAAAATACTCTATAAACCTATTCGGTCTTAAATGAGAGTAAAATGCATATATTGTTGCCTTTTAGGCTTTTAAAAGTGTATCATAAAATCTCCTCTGTTTACAAATTGAACTTTAAAGATGGATCCTCATAGTGGATAAAAACCAAATTTATGACAAGGAGGATCTCGAAGGATAAACGAAGTTGGAGGAAAAATTCAAGCAATGCTAAGGGAAGTCGATTTCAGCACGTCCGGCGGAACGGGTACCATCAACGACTGAGCATCTGGTGGATAAAAGTGAAATGAGCGTGGACCTCAAATTCATTAAACATTGTCAAAACAGTCTGAAAACAGAGAAGCCTTCTCCAGACCTTGCGAATAGATGAAGATCGGAATAACTTACGTCAGTACTGACAGAAAACCACTGAAACTGTCAGTTAACGGACACTAGTTGGTTTCCGATCCATAGCTGCAATTTTATTCGGTGAAAGGCTCATCACTTGGAAATAATTCATTAAACCGTACATTCCTGCGTCGTTTGATGGTGCACTTCCAGAACCATCCGGAAGAGGAGATCTTTTCGAGAATGATCGAGGTTACAGCTTTGCGAAATGCGAAATGTTGTGAACACTTTCTGAGTAACTGCTTCCGAGCCATCGAGAGAGAATCGCCTGGAAGAATGCTGAATCGCACAGCGCAACTATCGAAAGACAAACAAACTTTGACGTTTAACATTTTGTAGGCAACATTGCCGCCATAAATGCTGCCATAAATCTGAATGGGTTAGGATCAAGCAGAATAGCTTTAGATAAATACAATTCAGTCTAAAAGTTTTCTTCATAAAAGCCATTTCAAAACCTTATGAATTTGTTAAGGATTTCTTGAAAGCAAATAACTTTTTCACAAATGGCCCATGAAAATCAACTTTTATGCCTCCGCCATATTACAATTATTTTGTTTGTTTTTACAATCTTCGGTTTTCAATCTATATTTCCTTGGATATAACTTTATTTTAGTTAATTTAGCAATGAGAAAATATTTAGAATGCATTGCTGCATTTCTTAATGTTAAATAATTAGTAACATCAATGTTTTCGTGGGTGGACTCTTCATGAGAACTATTTTATAATTTTTGAAATTCGGCAGGATTTTTATACGATAAAGTAAAGTTTTTATTTTAATTATTTTGATAAGATCGGATGGTATTTATGAATCCTTTTTTATCTTGATTGTTGTTTTTCTAGAGAACTTAGCAAGCAGCTAGGGTAAATGGCTCGGATGATAGTTTTAATTGTTGCCAAATAGCTTTTATTGTAGCTAAAAAACGGTTTTCAAATGGATCTCAATGCGTTTATCGTACAACCATTTTGCAGTAAATCAATCTTGAAGAGCTTCGAAAATATAGCCTTCAGAAACTTTTCCAGAGTGGGCCAACTAGACGGATTCTAGCATCAATGAGGTTTTGGTGGATGCATCAATGGTGAAGCAGTCTTGACCAGGGTTTTATAAATGTTGTTTGATAGTAGCTTTGTAGTATTTCATAAAACTTAAAATGATACTTGGGATGGGAGAGATTTGTATATAATAAGAAAAAACGCGCATGGAGAAGAAATTCGTGGAGCAACTCTTAAGCTGCAAGAGAAAGTAGAAGGGCGACGCATTATTGAATTCATTAGTTTAAAAAGATTAAGAGGCGAAACATATTGATTCAAATTAAGAATCTTGTTCAATCAATTGAAAAAGGGGTTGGACAATGGTGTAATTGTAATTGTAATAGTTCAGTGCTTATCCCGTGCCTTTGGCTAAGTTTACGTATCTAGGGATCAACTCCCAGGTCTATGCACCTACCGTCCTTCCTGTTGCCCTTCTCAGCCTGTGTGATACTCTAGACTCACATGGGTGGTACCATCCAGGTCCAGTTTCTGGTACATTGACTTATATGTATGCATAGTTGAAGCTACTAATATTTTAAATTTTCTAAACTGTGAAACATTGGATTGATTTGGGTTGAATAACAGCACTTTATTTGTAATACTAGTTTTAAATCAATAGAATTGAAATAATTGTTCTTTAAAGCAAAATGTTTTAATCTTTATTACTGCAAAACTACTACCCAAAACAATATGCTCTTAATTGGCCATAACATAATAATAAGCATGATATTTTGACAAACTGAATTATGATGTGTTATTTGATTGCCAGACAAGATTTGAAAGTAAGGAAAGTCAACATTCACCGTTCAAAATATCGTGTGCTCATTCTCTGCTCGACTTCCGTTCGCCACTCATATTTAAAAACTTGATGAAAATTTTCACAAAATGAGTTCAAACAGTGAGTGGACACCATATGGAACATTCTCTCACTATGAACCTGTCATTTTTAGCCTATCTGAACCAGGGCTGACAAATGACATTTTCAAGATTTATTTACAGATTTTTTTTGTCATGACTGAACGAGACAGTGTTGGGATTATTGCAATTTATTAATATTATTTTTATATGCACCACGACAATCTTAAGAATATATTCGTTCAACAAATTACGTACAGTTGCTTGCCTAAATTCATCTAAAAGCTAGAAATTTTGATGTCAAAACCGTATGGAAACTATTTTCATGAGTGCATGAACATTGGAAAATTACAAGAATGCTCATGATAGGTAGTTTCGTCTTGTGATAGTGAGATTACCTGTTTTCTCATTGTCATATGACGGCCGTGATATTTACCAGCTCTGATCTAAACTATTCAATAAATGAAAACCATAACATGGAGTACGCTTCCTCTAAGCGGGCCCTCCGCATCCTATATATGTCTTAACTCATATACCAAATGGCAATGATTTGAATGTATCAATATATAACTTGCCAAATAAAATGTACATGCAAATTTCTAAAATATACTTGCACACAGTAATTAAATTCAATTAATAAGAATTTTGCAATTATTTCAGTGTACGCTATATTGGCCATATTTTTTTTCGTGAAATGACGTACCATCTAATAAACCCGTATCCCACTTACTTGACCAAGATCCCTTTCATTCAAATTCACCTCAAATTTCATACTTTACCGATTGAGTGTTGATTAGTCACAATGAAATATTGCGACAATATTTGTGAATATTGTTACTAGAGTATTAAATTATTTAAAATCGCCAAAATGACTCTTAAAACGACAAAAATTACCAAGCATTTATAAATGAGTCCTAAAACTTTAGAAGCTTATTAATACCAAAAAGGAATAGATCCTCCAAAATGACCCTAAAAACGCCAATAATGTCTTGAAAACGCTAAATAACATTGAATCGCCCTAGAAAGCTTTAATAGCCAGCGTGCTGTGGCAATGGGTAGTCGCGGGTTAGTTGACGACTACTATGGACCAGACTAAACAAAAACAATTTTCAATGTTTTCATCAGGTAAAGCGCAAACGATTTGGAGAACGATAATTGATGTTAAATTATACTTGAAGAATAGCAATCAAATTTTACTTGGAAAAACGTAAATGAATGTGAATTACGAGATGCGAAGACATATTTTACTTGGAAAAGAGCAAACGAATTTGGCTTGCGAGAAGCAAAGTCAAATTTCACTTAGAGATGCGTAATAAAATTAGGATTACGAGAAGTGAAGTTAAATTTTACTTGGAAAAATGCAATCAAATTTGAATCAAGAAAAACGAAGTTATATTTCCTTCTACAATCAGGGTTAAAACTTTTATTAAGTTTTTTTTAATATTTTAAGATACTTTATTATTAATTCTAAATTTTAGCCGTTATAAGCAAATTTCAACTCAGTTTTGATTCAAAATTATTAAAAAAAATCTGCTCATCGATGGGTCGTAGATTGAGAAACGCTAATTCAGGCCCTAATTAGGGACCACTAGACAATTTTGTTCGAAAACTGGCCTCATTGTACTTTGTAAACGGTTGACATAATTTACGACATAATCTGTAATAGCATGTTCGATCTGTAATAACAAGTTCGATCTGTAATAACAAGTTCGATTTAATGTGTGTGATATTTAAATCAAGATCCCAAAATTTCAAAAACATGCTTCAAAAAAGAATGCTTAACATGCTTTTTAATTTTAGGAAAAAAAAAAAAATGTGTCATTGTATTAAATGTTTAGCCGTTAGTAATAGCGTAGAACACCGTTAGCTTGAATGGCTAAAATCGCGTAACGCTAGTGAGAGGACCTATTTTAGAATTATCACATGACGGCCGTGATATTTACCAGCTCTGGATCAATACTCCTCCAATTCAAACAAAACCGCAGTTTTTGTTAGCGCATGGACTGAAAATTTACTTCCTTGAAGTTAACCACAAATGTATGACACTTAATCGACCTCAACAGACAATTATCGTCACCACCACAACATAAGGGCCTTCTGTTTCACGCACCACCTAAATAGGAATCTCATTAACCACCTTTGATGACTGCAAGCGGTAACCAAACCCACTACGCCTCTTCAGCACTTACTACCCGTTCACCCGCTGATTTCGGATTTTAAAAAAAGGATAATTGAAACATTTTTGCATCTTCGCCAAGATGCCACTTGTTGTTGTATACTCTAACCGCCTGACTTCAACGGGCCCCCTTCATTCCGATGGGTATATCCTTTCGCGGCCAACTTCGTATCTCACGTGGCTTTCGAGCACACAGCTGCCAGAGTTCACCGTGGCCTACTGCGCAAGTTCGTCGATTATGTGGCTGTGAGTGGCAAAACACACCGAGCCTCTGAACAAGTTCGACCAATAAAACTCCTATCGTATGGCACCGCTCGATTTAGTGAGTAACTGAACTCCTGATCGGGCGGTGTTTTCCTCCAAGAGCTGCCTACACCGGACTACATATACTAACCGTTTGTGTCTGTCTAGATGGACAGTAACCATGAGTTCGAACATTTTCCACTGAAGGGAAAACAAAACATAGAAACTTGGCAAATAGAACTGCGCCTGCTGTGGGACGGACACGTTCAAATCATTCACACGGGTTGTGAATTTCGAGTGAAGGACGAGTTTTCCGCGAATGTGGTGTTTTACCCACAAGTCTAAAGAAGCCTGTAGTGTGTGAATCTCTGCGGTTGGCTGCGCCAGATTAAGCTTCAATTGATGTGAGAAGACGGAGAAAGTGATACCTGGTATTTTATTTTTTTCGTTTTCGGCAAAAAATAAAGTGAGCTGTGTTTGTGACGTTCTGCATGATGGGAAAAGTTTTCCCCGGCTTGGAAGACAGAGGAAAATATTTTATCGTCATTCCATTGCATGGCCGATGAAGGCTAACGAAAGGAAAACGGTGAAGAAGTTGATTGATCGTTTCAGGGAGATTTGAGTGGGGAAAAACTTGCGAGTGATGCATTATAATGTGATTAGTGTGTTGATTTTAACACTGGAGATGTTGGAAGTTGGAGAATTTCCAGGAAATTTACCTTAATCGGTAAATGCATACTACTCTTCTGTTCGCGATCATGGATGCATAAATATTGAAATCGTGAGTAGCGTTGAACTACTATTCTGTCTAATATTTATCAATTGATGCAAAATATCCCATAATATTCCAAAAATCCATTCATTATAAGCTATTCTACGTACAAAAAGTAAAAGGTCTATTCATGCAATAAAGTTCACCCAGCCGAATGGCAGTCCCATACAAACGGCTGAAAATTATGGTTCACACATGCTAACACGGGTCCCCTGTGGGTTGTGAACAATTTAAGAACTTTGAGGTGAGAAAGACCTGAGTGTCAAACGGCTGATTCACCTCAGAACAACTAGTCTCATTCATAGTAGGCGCACTGTTTTAGGAGTTTATCGTGCTCATATTCCTTTCTATGAAGAGTAGGGCAAACTACCTTTGATCCCACTGTGTGCATAGAGTCCTGTGAAATGTGACCTACGGTAAGGCTTCGGCTCATGCCGCATAAAGTCGACAAGCAACTGAGTGAAGAAAGAAAGTGCCTTTGAAAAGTCAGTGTTGTATGTAAAGCACTCGACAAAAAGTTATGATGCATGCAAAATGGTTTGCTGGTAAGTGGGGCACAGGAGAACGAAAGGCTCTTGCATTCGGTACAGTGAATTATTAATTCACCTCTCAAGAAATATACTAGCGTGTACATAATACCGTTAAATCACGAATGCACGTTTTAATGTGATAAGTTTGCAACTTTAATGCTCACTGACATCTATGGCAGCTTCCTAGTATTAGCGGAATGTTCCAAATATCGGACGGTTCTTTAATCCGGACGTTATTACGTTTGTGCAACATAATAAAAATGTGTGGTGATTTTGAAAGTTACTATAATATCATGATAAAATTTACGAGCTGTTTTGAGCATGGTTAGTAGAGATATTCAACTTTTAAAAGTGTTCAAATTTCAACGGCACTTCAACCTCACCGCAAACATCACGCAAACAACGCGGGTGCTGAGTTGAGACATCAAGTCAACCATCGAAAATAGCTACCCACTCTTCTATATAAACACAGTCGCTTTTCACTGGTGGCAAAAGGCCATCAAGATGATAGGCCCGCGGAAGAAAGCAAGAAGCAAAGTTAAATTCTGAAAAGTGAAACAACCCGGTAGGCATGGTGGCAAAGATTTACTTTAACGCCAAATTGTAGAGAAAAAGTGGAAGATACAGCTCGACAGCCGCGACGAAACGGCTTTTCAATTTTCCCTTCTTTGGTCGAAGTCAGCGTCATGATTTTCTCCCGCTGGCTGTTCAAGCTTTTATCTTGCTTAACGCGAATGTGCTAACATGAATTTTATTTTATTAACACTTTTGAAGTTGCGCATACCGTGATCCTTTGCTCGTCAAGAGGTCTTATTTTCGATTTAAAAAGAAACTAAAAATCAATACATCCAAGCCGAGTTAAACACTCGCGTTCCACTGCTGAGGCTGGCCATGCGGATCAGAGCGTGATGGAAAATGTCAAGCTAAACCATTTTGTAAATTTGCTACCCGAAAACAACAACGTCGACCGATGAACGTTAATGCTGGAAACGAGCAAAACAAAACATTCAGAAGGCTTTTATGGCTCCCAAAAAAATAAAATAGAAACACGCAGAAAGGTCCCTTTAAAATATCCAGCAACGAATGCGTGCCTCGGATACTTGTGGGGATAACGAGCAATGAGGGAATATTTGGGCGCAACTATATCCAGTAGACGACCCTCCTGGGTATGCGGAGATTGGTAGACCTATACCCGGACCAGAATACAGAAAAGTGTATATTTATGATAATTAATTGGAATCCATAAGCCGGATATTTAAGGTTGACACGAGACTGCTCCGCAGTAGACAGGTGGTGGTGGCCCTTGAAAGCAATCATTCTAGTAGCCACATGTGCGTATACAAGGATCGGTCTTCTTTAAAACTGAGTCATAACCCGAGCAAAGTCTGAAATCGAATTGAAAATTCGTCGTTTTGGCCGTTTAAACGGTTAAAATATCAAAATTGAGACCAAAAAATCTTCCGGTGACATCAAATTGAAAACTAATTATGCTATCTGTAAGAGCAAACAGAAAACTCAATTTCATGTACATTTATCCTGTTGAGAACAAAACGAGTATTCAATTTTTTATATTATAGTCACTTTAAAGCTCATGGGTCATTTGTGACTAATTCGGGGGTGAGATTTGACCTCGTGACTTTGGCGTGAGAGGTATGGATGCTAACCACTACGCCGGGGTGCTATGACAATGAAAACAAAACTGCAGCAGCATATTTTTGAAAAGCAAATGTACAGCCAAATAAAAACAAAATTTGTTAAAAAAAAATGTGTCAATCGGGTAAACTGAAACCAAATTATGATTTCTGTTTGATGTTGGTATCAAAATGTTATTTCAATTTGCTTTCATTTTGATGCTGGCCTTTGCTCGTGAACATGACGAATTCAATTTGCTTTCCAAAGATCGCAAATCTCTACTAAGAATTGATTTCAACCGGCGATGAGCATTTCCCCGAATCTTCAACAAGTCAGCGACACATGGCAGCGCCGTCGATCCGCACGCGTGTATCCAAGGAGATGGGCAATTTTAACCCGTCACATCTATTTACACTGGCTCACTGCGATGAAAAGCTAAACTGCCTGGCGCTTCACTCGGTCTACTGAGATTCCATCGATAATCTCATACCGTCTATGTCTGTGGGGAGTCCAGGGGCGTTGGTGTTTTCTGTGGCTATGTGAACATCGGCTATGATTACAGTGCTTATATCTTCAGAGTCATTTATTTTCATTTACTTGCCCGCATGTGTAATGGATGGAAAAGTATAGCTTTATGGTATCGCACTGAATTAAAGGGCTACGATAATGAAAAGCTGAAAGCTGGCCCGCATTAGTCTATTCCAATTCAAATTGATAGGGGAGTTCAGCATTTTTGCACTTCTAATGCTTTCTGTCCCAAGTCATTTGGCACCAACTTGGATTAGAATTTTGACGGACCGAATACCTAACCCAAGTAACCAAAAGTTCTGATAAAAGGCTATTTATGGCTTAAGCACCTTGGTTGAAGGTGGTCTATAGAATTCTAAGCAGCCTCATTTTTAAGTCGTTATAAGAATTTGAAAGTTCCGGTACCATAATTGAAGAGCATTTTAAGAAGCCTCTGGCGGAACTTGAACGGAACTTTTAGAAAATAAATTAAAAAAGGTTTTTGTCCTCTACACCACAATTCTATATTTAGTTCGCACTTTTAAGAAAGTTATTTCTATAGGCAGGTATTAATGTGTATTGATTATTTATCAGCATTAGTAGTGGTAATGGAGCTGTGGGAAGAATGAAACCCAGTCCTTCTGCGTGAGAGTCTCAGCACGAACCACTTTATTAACTTTATTTGAACTTTATGGAACTTGGAAGTGTTGAATGCGGAACTTTTGGTTACTTGGGAAATTAACTTAGAATAACAGGTTGTCAGCTTATTTTGCATGTAAGTGGTGAATGTTTACAACAAAGCCTTTGTTATAGCCGGTAATTGTAGCGTTGTTTGGTCACCCTATGTGAAAAAGCATGAAGAACGAAAAGAGTCAATCCAAAAGCAATTTTTATTATATGTACTACGTAAGTTAGGTTGGACGCCTTTTCCTCTCCCGTCATATGAAGCACGTTGCTTGCTGATCAGCATTCAAACATTGAAAGAACCTCGGGATTACGCAAAGATTTCTTTATTAAACAATATCATTTCGCAACGCATTGACTCAGCTGATCAAGGTTAAATTTGTATGCACCTTCCCGACAATAACGCAATCGACTCTTGATCGCAGTAGACCGCCATCGGACCAATTACGCTAAATTTGGACCGGTAAATCAGATGATGACTGTTTATAATCATCATTGTGAAATGATTGACCTAAATATGCCCTCAACAGAATTAAAAATATATTTAAGAACCCTGCGAAGTCATAGAACATAAGTCCTAATGATAATATGTAGTCTACGATTGGATTGATTGACGAATAAATAAATAAATAATCTCAGCACAATCGTCTACTCCGATGATTACAACAAGAATACTTGCTCTGACTCGATTATTCGAGAAATTGGTATAATCAGATGACTCTATAGGTTTCAATGCATAAAATCAGAAATCAACTAAGTGATAGGAAATCTGGAAATGTGTTTGCAGTACCATTATTCATTCGATAACAGTAGTGTTTACCAGCGGGGCTTGTCAAAGTCTCCTCAGCATGGGCTTGACTTACCAAACAATCTGACATTGGTTGCAGGATCTGTAGTAGAACTATCACTTTCTAACTCACAGACTAAAACAGCTTTCAATTCTCATCTGAAGAATTATTGCAAGTAGAGTTACTCCATAAGACCACTGTCAGCCAGAGATGGTTGGATTAACTTCGTGGAAGTACAGGTACATCGCTGGGAACATTCATGTGAATTCAAGCGATACATAGCGCACACGTGGTTAACACTAGATTTAACGTAAATTTACAAATTACATTTCATGTAAATTAAAGCGCAATTTCGTGTAAACTAGCAGTTTTGCATACAAGCTTGTAAACAATGCCGTAGCTTATGCCGTATTTTACAAGATGGTTAAAAATCAGAACCCTCCCGAAGGCTTACTTGACAGCAAACTAGACCGCATACAACACTCTGATTTAAATAACTCTGTATTAGGGGGACCCCCTTGTAGGGCCCTACCCTCCTTACCTTCCCGGATCCCTAAATTTTTAAACTCTGTCTCTTCGGAACCCCCTTGTTGGAATTCCAGAGATGAATCAGTAACCTAACCTAACCTAAAATTCTGCATTTTTTTTTTTTTTGTGTAGATTCCCTCTTCGTAGTGTGTTACGGTGTAAGATTTACTACCAAACCCTAGTGCTGGCTACTTCATACTAGGGGAAAAGATTTTTTCAGTAATTATAGGAACACCCACAAGGAAAATAACCATTTCTAGAACAGTTCAAACATTACCTATACCTTACCGGTAGTGTTAACTTTAAACAACATAGTTATGCTATGGTTCATAGAATGTAA